GGCTTGAGTTGATTAATTAAACTTTGAACTTTTATCTTTTATTGAAATAAGCGATAGTCCTTAAAGCTAGTGTCACTGGTTCACTTTAACATCACTCACAAAGACATAAAAGTCGTTAAATAACCTCTAAAGATGAAAGTTGAGGTTCACTCTGTCGTCTCGCTCATACTTAAAGAAATGTGGACATTTCTCATTAAGAGAAAATAACTTGACTGAAGCTTGTTTCTCTTCTGCACTGACATCTAAAAAGAGTCAGGAACAAGGTTGAATAAAAATGCATCACAGCGCTCATAAAAAGGCACAATATGATCATTCTGAAAAACAACATTTGTTAGGCGTATGCGCAGCCGTTTGCGAGCTAATTGACAAGTTATAATGACAGAAAGTTATTTCTCTGAATCCCAGCCAAAGTGCTTCCTCGCTCGGATGCCCACAGGAAAAGCACCATCTGCGGCACATTCCATAAACATTTTGCCTTTTTCATTTTTGGACAAATGTGTTCTTGACGAGCAGGTTTTGTTTCATTATCTGCCTAAATGAGTCAAAGGTTTCCCGTCCCCAAAGCTTTGCTGACATGTTTTCTCGTCGGCTGCTGGATCTGTTTTGCCAACTGCGAGTGTGATTGACGTCGCTGTGAGACTTCTCTGGTTATGAAGTGGAGATTTTCTCTTTTTTTAACCATATAGCAGAAGAAAATTCGCCGTATACCAACCCGAGCGTCTTCAATCCCAAGGCTTTTATTTTGCAAATGCTCCTTTTCGGATTACGCTCCTCTCGGGTCGCTACATTCTTCTCTAATCCCCTTACCTTGCTCCCTGGCAGGTGTTTGCTTAATTTGCGCTCGCACGGCTGTGATTTATTTCTTGTAAAAATCCTTAATAGCACAGAGCGGGTAAACAACAACTGCTTCTTAGTGAAATGGTAAACATGAGCTGATAAGGGGTCTAGAGGTGGGTCGACAGGAAAAAAAAAAAAAACAGCGCTCTATCTGCTCTCGTCTGCTTGTGTAACCGCTTTCATGTGTCTTTTATTTTTCGCCGCCGTGCCCTCTCAGCCCCCGTGGGAACCCTGGGGTGGACAGTCCTCCCTCTACCTCACAGATGGAGCCTGCGATTGGACACCCCCAGTGAATAATCTTCTCATTACTTATCATGATGAACTGTGGCATGCAAATATCAATAAGGGACTGTGGCGAAGCAATCCAATTAAGGCCCAAAACCAGGAGTCTCATTAGTGCTGAGTCTCTGATAATGCAAATGACACCCTATGAGTAATCAACCTTGAATATAAATGGCGCCAGCGTATCCGCCGCTACAGGTGACTCTGTCTACCTGTGTGAGAGTCGACACGGCTCTGTTTGAGATTCAAGAACAGGGATTAGCATTTTCAGTTCCTTTTGTTTGAATACAGATACGGGAGAACGGCGTGGAGAGGGCCCCGGGGGTTTTCATCAGGAAATTACACATGCTTGTCATGAAACAGATATTTCAACAGAGGAGGAAAAGTCGGCGTGTTCTCGGCTTCACTGTGTCTTCACGTTTGACAATCCTGCACCGCCGAAGACGTTCAGCTGTAATGTTTCCAAAACTTCTCCTTTCTTCAAAATGTGGAAGCTGCGGTTTGGTAAAGGTTAGGGAAATGTCACAGTTATGGCGCCGGAGCTGTGGTTAAGGTCACGCCGCTCTTTTTTGGGGGTTGAAACCGACTTAATGATTCTGAATGTTGGCAGGAAACCCGAGGACGCTCGTATTGGACGCCTCCCAGGGTTGTTTGGCATCTTTCGGCTCATGACTGCAGGATTTTGTGTCAGTTTACACAAAGAGGTGGGCGTCAGTACTCGCATTTGCCGTCAGTATTTGTTCAAGAGGGCAAGAATATAACTGATAGAATAGATTTAAGTAATATACTGTATCGTATCTCTATAAATACCTACAGTGACAGAGAATAACCTTCAACATCTTCAACACAGGCAGTTAGAAACCACGGTGTGACGAGAGAGCAAATACAATGTGAAGGGGAAGCAGCAGATATAAGGATCATAGTTGGGAAAAGTTCATTAACAGAGATGTGCGGAAAAAAACACAGTATCTCACGCTGTAAAAACTCATAATTAACCGGTAAATTGATTTTAAATCATAATCGGATTATTTGATTATGAAGATGTTGAAAAAAAAATTAAAATCTTGGAATCGATTTTCCTCTCTATCATGTCTCGGGCCTCCAGGTCACCGTAGGCTCCCCCTTTCTCCCCATTTCCCACACACACCAGTGTAAACAAACATGGCGTTTGCCAAAGAAGGCGATAATTTCGTGGTTAAATAGGACAAGAGCGAGTCAGTCGTGTTGAATAGGTACGACTTAACAGTTTCAGATGAAGAGTAAACCACTCCCCGCTGCAAAGTCTGTCTGAAGGCGGTATCAACCCGTCACCATGGAAACTAATTCAGGGGGAAACGTTACACGGCGTTTCAGGTGACTGTAAAAAAAGTACTTTTTGAAAACAGTATAAATCCGTAAACGACGACCGTTTCATTTCCGTGTGGATGTCTATCTGCAGCTCTGGAAACGATCATGTGACACACAGAGTAACTCCAAAACAACCTTTATACACTTGCTCTGTACTCTTCTTCTGTCTTTTGTGCATTTCCTGTGCAGTGTTACAGCGCCACTGACTGGCTTGGAGTATGCACTACATCGTTTTCAATGGTTTGGTTTGAGAGATGATAGAAAAACTTTTTATTTAAGTGAAGTTTGTTAAAGTTGTCACTGAATCGTCAAAATCGTGCCGCCCTGCCCGGTGAATTTTTCTGATTTCTGGTCAAAATATCTTGTTTTTGTTAAAAGACGCCACACTCACCTCACAGACTCAGATATGATAGATGTTCGGCAAAGAATGAATAAATAAAATACACTAAAAGTCTCAGATGTTTTCTGTTATCGCACTAGTTTCAGCTATGTAAAAAGTAACACCCACAAGTGGAAAATGGCACAAACGTCAGCCCCCTCACCTTCCTGTAAAAAAATGATTTTTTCCAAAGTGTTTTGCTTCTGCGAAAACAGCTGTTGTCTGTTTTTTGAAATCTAAAAGGAGCTCATCGTGCGTCAGACCCTCAAAGTTAAAACAGCCTCTTCTCAACTCTTCTAAAGAAACCATGATAGATTAATGATAGATTAATGATAGATCAATGATAGATTAATGATAGATTAATGATAGATTAATGACAGATTAATGTCTACATCATCCATGACCTAAATGACCTTTCTAAACACGAACTGTGTTAGAATGTTCGAGTAAAGACCTCCGATTTCCCCTCTGATCAAACAAAAGGTTATATTTCTGTATCTCCTCGGACGTCATTGGCTTTGAAAGTGTTAATGACGTCTCTCGTTGGGTTGTAGTGCGTGGTGAGGAGGGGTCAGAACCAGCAGATGTATCACTGGAGGGAAAAAAGAGAGAGAGAGAGAGAGAGAGAGAGAGAGAGAGACATGATGCAACAAAAATGCAACCTGACAGAGAAATCCCTCAGAGGTGTTGGAGACCGCCGGCTGATCCCTGCGGCCATTTCACACCAGCTGTGAGGGCGACTGCAGCTGCAGGACCCCGAACTGACGTAATAGTTTATTTCTACACCGTTAACTGATCCAGACTTCTTCCATGTTTTCATTTTAAAGGAGGATTTTAAAGGAAACGAGGGTGAGCTCGTTAAACACCCTGATGATGAAACCCATTAAAGGAGATCTTGGCCGTTTTTATGTATGAATTATACCAACAAGAGACGACATGATGCTTTAAGATTCATGTAGGTTTACAGTTGACTTTTTTCTGTCGGCAAATTTGATGGTTAGAAAAAAAATTTGATTTTATTGGGCTAAGTTTGGTAAAGTTTAGTTTTTTTTTTTAGGTTAAGTTTAGTTTTAATTGGTTTAGTTTGGTTAAGCTGAGTTGAGTTGAGCTAAATTAAGTTAAGTTGTATTGAGTTGGGTTTGGTTTAGTTTAGTTGAGTTTAAGTTAAGTTTAGTTTAGTTAGGTTTCGTTGGGTTAAGTTTAATTTTTTTAGGTTTAGTTTAGTTTAGTTTAGTTTAGTAAGGTTTCATTCGTTGAGTTTTATTGTAAGTAAGTTTAGTTTAGTTTAGTTCGGTTTGGTTCGTAGAGTTTAGTTTAGTTTATGTAAGTTTAGTTTAGTTTAGTTGGTTTCGTTGGGTTTAGTTTAGTTTAGTTTAAGTAAGTTTAGTTTAGTTTAGTTAGGTTTCGTTGCGTTTAGTTTAGTTTAGTTTAGCTGTTAAACCTGCTCATTAGTATCGGAGGCTTTGTTTCAGTCCTGTCCTTGAATAGGTATCTTTCCCTTTTTTAAGTAGTGTCATATATAATTAAAATCTTCCAAATGCTTGTTTTTAACTTTAATTGATTCATTTGTGTTGTCTTTTTTATTTGCGTTCAGCTCAGTGTTTGTGAAGCTCAATAGAGAGCCCCGGTTTATCAGATTTTCTATTTTAAAGCTGTTTAATAATCTTTTTCTGCTATTTTTGATATCATTTTATCATTTTGCATTCACATGAAGGTTATTTTTTGCTGTAAGATACTTTTCTCTTAAATCCTGATCATGATAAAAGCCACGGGTCATTTACAAATAGAACCGCACAGTATGTCTGTATGTGCACTGTGATTGGCTGGTGACCTCTCCAGGGGTGTATCACTCCTCTCACCCAATCACAACAGGCCACCCAAAATAGGATAGGCAGTTAAGATAATGGATGAATGGATTTTTAGTTTTAGATTATATATAGTACAGAAACAATGTTCTCAATATGCAGATCCATATTTTCATCTGTTACCTAAAACAAAGCTTTAATGTCCTTACACAACTGTCCTCGGTTCACCTGCTCCTCAAACCGTCTCTGAAACATCCTTCATCATGTTCTGGACACTGTTCCAAACTTCTCACAGAGACAGCTCTCCTCTTCTCCACAAACATGAAGTCAGACAGGTTTGATTCTGTCAGGTTCAGTCTGGAAACGCAGGCTTGCGTAAGGTGAAGCTGTCCAAGACTCAGAGAGCCGTCCGGCCAAAAGCCAACGGGAGTTCAGCTGAAGTGGGAGAAAAAGACACTGAACTGGAAGAAAAGTCAAATTTAACAACTTCCCACTCAGATTCCTTAAATCCTTTTTTCCAGTTTTATTCAGGAGCAAAAACCAAATAAGAAAACATGTCCACTGGTGACAGATGCATCTTTGGGCCTCTCCCTTAAATTTCACACTCCTGCTTCGCTCTCGGTTTGATTCAAAGGCTCAGAGTGTAATTGTTATAAAAGAAGTGTTTGAGGGACCACAACTGTGTGAGAAATAACAATGCCGTGAAAATGCCCCATGTGATGCAACATTACAGCAATTTTCAAGGCACTTCAGATCGATAGCACTTCAGATTATGGCCACCTTCCTTCATAACTGCAGAAGCACCATCTGCTCCGACACCAGCAGACTTTGGCAAAGAGAAGAAGAAGCAGCTTCACCTACTTTCATTTTCAATACACAGTCACCGGACTTCAACGAGACTAAACACATGTAGAGACTACGATATGAGACAAAAGACAAAAGTATGAGATAAATAATCAAGATAAAAGGGAAAAATCAGTCATCAGTCCGAGCTTTGGGATAAAAAGTCCTGATTGTTTGGTTAAAAAAATTAAAAATAAAAAATTATAACATCTAAATTTAAAATTAGAAAGTCATACGTCTTCATTAAAATAAAAAATTAAAATGAGAAAGTCAGACATGGTCATAAAAAAGTAAAAATTAAGTTAAGAAATTCATAATTTTGAGTCAAAAGGCTATAATGATGAGAATACATGCTGAATTTATGAGACAAGAATTCATAAATATGAGAAAGTCACCAAAAATTATGGGACAAGGGGTAAGGGGTAAGCAAATCCTGTCATAACTATGAGATAAAAGTCATAAATATAGAATTAAAACTCAAAATGATGTGATTTAAACTTGGTATGAGAAGGTTTGTCATAACTGTGAGGTAAAAAAATCCAGATTATGAGAAAATCAGTCATAATTAGGAGGAAAAGGGACTAAATTGTGCCAATTCGTCAGAATCAAGATTTTGTGATCAAGTATAAGGGTCAGTCAAAACAATGAAAAGTTATGAGAAAGTCAGTCCTGATAATATGATTCAAAATTTTAAATTATTAGATTTTCAGTCATCATTATGAGAAAAAAAGTTGATTTTTTTTTTTTTATGTCATATTTTTCAGATAAAGAGGCCTTCTGTTGGGTTAAAAGTGAAAATTATATTGTAAAAATCGACGGTTAGAGAGGGTGTGTCATAGGTTTGAGGTATGAAAGTCCTTATCATGAGAGTCCGTCATAATCACATAAAAGTCAATGAAATAAAAAGTCAATATTATGAGAAAGTCAATCATAATTATGAGAAAAAGAGGCTAAATTATGCCAATTTGTCAGAATCAAGAATTTGTGATAAAATATAAGGGTCAGTCAAAATAGTGAAAACAATGAAAAGTTATGAGAAAGTTTGTCCTGATAATGTGATTCAAAATTTGAATTTATTTGACTATTAACCGCAATATGAGATAAAATGTTTTTCTGTAGGATTAAACGTCAAAATGATGTCGTATAAATTGGAAGTAAGAGAAAGAATGACATAGGTATAAGGTATTAAAGTCATTATTAAGAGAGTCAGTCATAATCACATAAAAAGTCAATTTATGAGAAAGTCAGTCTTAATTATCTGAAAACAGAGGAAAAATCATGTAAGCAGTTATTATTATAAGATAAAATGTTTAAGTTTTAAGAAAGTACGTCATACTTATGAGAAGAAAAAAGTCAAATTTATGAGAGTCATAATGAAAAGATAAAGCACTTTATGAGAAAGTTCACATATGGATGAGAAAGAAAAGTCAGAATTATGAGAAGTCGGTTATAAAAATTGGAAAGTCAGGAATAATCATGGGAAGGTTTTTCATAATAATCAGATTGAAAATGTGGAATTATAAGATAATAAGATGTGATTTTAAGGTGTATTTCCAGTGAGCGTCTATCTTTAGAGGAAGTTTTCACCAGCTGATGAGGTGCAGGTGTGTCTTTTTTAAGATAAAACAAACTCAGCTCTTCAATAATAACATGTAACTTAAGTACAGACATGAAAGTTAAGCAAACAGCACGAAATGGTAATTTAACAAATTAAGTGTTCACTCAGAAAAAAACACCCACTGGTTACACAAGAAGACGTCGACGGTCGTTAACGAGAGACTGTCTCAGAAAAAGCCGCTCATCTTTTCCTCCGACTAACACATTTTCATGTTTTCCACTGCAGCTTGATTAAACGGCCGTCAGTGTCAGCATGAAACCAGATTACTAAATTATTCTTTTCGCTGAAAGAAGATGTTCGGTGAAGGGCTCCAGCTGTGCACCTTTCACCGCATGTAGGATGTAAAGCAGAGCTCATTAGCAGGATGTTCAGAGGAGGAGGGATTTCAAGCTTCAGCTTCCTATAGAATTAAGGCATTAACTTCACACGTAAATCTATGTTTGAATCAAACACCCACACTCTGTCACACATCTGTATTATCAGTGTTTTTGTTTCACACATTAACACTATGATATTAATAGAAATCCTATTAATTACTGTTATTATAGCTGTCAGGCTCTCCATCCCAGCATGCATTACTGTGCAGTGATTCTTATATACAGTATATGTAACGTTCAGGAGTTTATAAAGTAAGATAAACTTTTACTCCAACTCACACACACACTGTTGGGTGGTACAGATGTATTAGCACGGCGTTAGCATGTTTGTACATGTTTGAGAAAGTGACAGCCTTGGCACTTTGTACCATCAACTCTTGTGTTTCTAGTTTTTGAAAAGCCGAAGTGAAGCCTACGCACTGATTTTTATAAACAATTACGATGTATTAATAGGAGCAGATATGGCAGATAATAAGGGTCGACTCTGAAGTTTTCCCGTTTTTTATCAGTTAGTGCCGCTTTCAGGGATCCTACTAATGTTTCATCATGAGAGTCAACGATGAGGCGACGTTGAGCCGATAACTCATTTATTTCTTTTCCCAGAGAAGTAACACGACTCATTCCCCCTCATTAGCTTTAATACTCAGAGTTGACCAGCGATTAGCCTCATAATGCAGTTTTAAAGGGGGATTCCACATGTCTCAGCTTTCTGCTCAGTCTTTTCAGTTTTAGGATGATTACTGTACAACAATGTGGAGCTAAGAAGACAAAACCTCAGAGACAAATTAACAAATTAACTAAATCATTCTCGTAATATTATGACTCTATTCTTGACATCGTAACGTTACGACTTTACTCATAGCTTTATTCTTGTAACATAACCTTATTATGATTTTATTCTCTTAGGAAAATCGAGTCGGAAAACTAAGATGGATGCCTACTGTTAGCTGTTGTCAGCTGTTGTTTACAATTGTCAGCTGTTGTTAGCTATTCCAGTTTTAAACAACCCATAACCCAGTATTTTACTCGTACAAACACCATCGCAGCGTGTTCACAGTTAGACGTTGGGCAGTTCAACATAAACCACTTGTTACTCTTTACTGTTGATGCACTGCGCTGCCATCTTGGATTATGACGTTGTCATCAAGTCGGGGTTGGTGAGGATCGTCCGACTTTCCGAGTTCCGACTTTAGGGGGGCGTTCCAGATGAACTTCTCTGAAATCCCGACTTCAGAGAACAACTGGAAGGCAGGAGAAGATGAGGAAATGTTTGTTTTAGAATCTGACAGCTAGATGGCGCTAAATGTCCTCACACGGCACATTTAAATTTCTCTCACTGTTCTTCCTCTACCCTACCAATAATGATTGCTGAAGCCTTCCTCATACACAGTCTATGTGTATGAGTGTGTAAACGGTCTGTTGTCGTAGATCTCCGACTCTCAGGTAAAATAACTTTCCCCTCCTTCCTGTTTTCCTCTCTTTCTTATCATTCTCAGGGAACATCCTGTGAATTCATCTGAACCATTGAAACACTTAGAGGGTTTTCTGTGTGCACACACTCTCACTGTAGACTGACTGAAGTTCGAGGCGGGGTACCTGTAGAGCAGTCCATCTTTCACCTCGCTCCCTCTCAAGCTCAGTTGGCTTGCAATCATTAATATGATAGTGGGCTGAGACTCTGAAAAGCTTTGAGCAGCCTTGAAGAAAATCCAATTATGATCTTTGATTCGTCTCCAGAAGCAGATTACCTATCTCACTAATGACATTTTCCTTCCCGTTCATGGCCTCTTTAAAATGAGACGATCCAGAGAGCGCGTGGGTGTTCCAAATGTGATGATGACTATCTATTCCTTACAGGTCTATATCAGACGGACAGCTCGCATTATGTAGAAACGCTTTCGTCAGATTCCCGCCTGCATGAGATGAACTTTATAAGGATTATTAGGACCTCTTCATATATGAAGCCAGGGCAACAGGCCGATCAAGTTTTTTTTCTCTCTCTCTTTTTTTTCCAGGACGTAAATTCAACTGAAATGAAGGCGGACTGACATCTATGCAGATTTTTATTTACAACTTCTGGGCTCTTCATCAGCTGTATCAGTTTGGGGCAAAGTCTGTCAGCTCCATGTAGGTCTCTGCAGATACAACCACTTAAAATAAAGATGAAATTTGGCTCGTAGCATGCCCCAAAATATCTTTAAAATTCTGCTACTCTTGCAACACAGCTCAACTTTTTCACACTGTCAGCTTTTTTTTTCTTTTTTTTTCCTTTTTCTTTTTTTTTATACCATTGCCATTGTATTCTTAGTCATTACAATTTCCTTTTTGTCCTTGAATATAATATTTTCACAGCCTTTTTAGCCGATGAATAATTCATGACTGCACAACTTACTACAGCCATTACGGATGCCAAAACCCTGAGGGCATCACACTAATAATTAGATCCTGGAAAGCTGTCTTTACAGTGATCATACTGGGGAGAAAGAATGCAGAGTTTGCATAAAAATGGGTGCTTTTTATTTGTTTACCTTGCTGTGTGTGCTTAAACAGGAAATCCTAGAAGTGTAAACCAGCCGCTAATAACAGGTAGAACATGACGGCTCCCATCCAAGGAGAAATATTGGACTTATTATTGAAGGGTGCTTTGTGCAGGTATAAAATATTTGGAAATTTCCTTTATATATTTCCTATTATATTCTATTAATAACGGTGTCAGTTTCAACTTCAATTCTCTGTCAGTTCCTTTACCGATTTCTGTGGGTTTTCTCTTTTGACAATAATAATTTTATTACTTCTTCATTAATACTTTTACTGCTCTGCTAACATGAGGAAACCTGACTTCTGATTGGACTTTTTACAGGACAACTTATAAGAGTAACAACCCCTGATTGGTTGAGGGACTGAAATAAAGAAAGTTTCAATAAGCATAGTCCGCTTACAACAGAAAAAACATAATTTCATTAAAATCTATAGTCACAACAGTTTCCCTTAACTTTTATATGGTTGTATTCAGGCAAGCTCAGAAAATACTGAAGTCCTCTTTTTGCAACAGAAAAGTTCCTGGATGTTACAGAAACATCTTCCAGAGTTTATCCCCGGAAAGTAACCGGTCTCACAAAACAAGTGGATTTAACTGTAAGATGGTACACAGTACCATTCTAGTTTTAAAGAAGGTTATAATAATCGTCCACTTTGATTTAACGCCTCGTTATTCTGCGTTAAATCAGTGTTTTTAAAGGCCAGTTTAAGTGACCTGGAAGGCATTAATAAGTGAACAGCTGAGCATTAAGGTAAATGGTGTCACGTCTTGAACTGGTTGGAACTGGTTCTCATTTAAAACCAGTTTTTGATTCACATATTTTATCATAGCATACTTCATCTTAATGTATCGTATAATATTGTGTTATTGTGTTAAGTTATGCACAGTAACATATGAAGTATTATATGGTAGTTAGCTGTAACATACTGAGTTATACAGTAGTGCATTATATGTGTATATCGTGGGTGGTAGTCACTACTGGCCCCACGATACGATATTATTACGACACTTGTTCCACAATACAATATTATCACGATACGATATTATCACAATACAATATTATTACGATATGATTTTTTCAGGATACTTGGGCCACGATATGATATTATTGCGATTTTTAACATTTTGCAACACACTAAGTAATTCGATGAATACAGTTTTTGTAACTGTTTAGCTAATTTAGCATTTGGCTGTCCTTTATGTTAATTTTATTTACGCTGTATTTTATTTTTATGTCACGCATCCTGCTAACCTTAGATATATTTATATTTGTTGTCCTCACTTTCTCCTGCTCTATGATGTCACCTCTGTCAACCTCACTGGACAAACAGTTGATTTCATTTTTCCATTATCATAGATTTGACTTCATATTAGCAATTAATTAAAAAAAAAATTGATACTTGGTCAATGAGACGATACGATATATCACCAGACAAAAATATAGCAATACTATGCTGCTACCAGTTCTTCCTCTTACCCCTGGTATGTTATTGTGACGTATCCTACCAGTCTTATTGTTTTGTATCATATGGTACTGTAGTACATTGTATTGCATCATATTGCACTACAGTATCCCATATTATTCTATTGTATCATAACATACCCTATTATAGTGTATCATATATTGTTTCAAACTATATCATATATTATCTTGGCAGGTCTTTTTGTATTGTATTGGGTTTTTTATATATTGTGTTCTGATTTGACCTCTGGGATTTATTTGTGAAGTATTAAATCCAATATTTTTCACAATTTTATAACATTATTTGAGGTTTTGACTCATTATTTTCTGTGTGTCTGCCTTGAATCTCTGTGGGAGGGAGCGTAACACCTTACTGTGCACGTTAGCAGCTGTGAAATGTAAGTTCAGGGAAAAAATGTGAGTGATTATTGGATTAAAAAGTGCTGTGGGTCTGAAAAAAGAGAAACCAGCTACTGTACTGCAAGTTCAACAAGATTAATGAAAAAAGTTTCCCTTCGCTCTTTTGAGATTTCATGACTTGCCGAATGATTTTGCTGGAGGATAGCACGCCAGTCACCGTGTTATACACCAAAGTGTAACGACAGCACCTGCACAAATATTCCTGCCAGTGCATCTCTGATTCTACCTCCACAGCTCTGGCAACATTACGGGGCACGTTGGCACACAGGTGGAGTCCTCTCTGCCAGCCATTAGAGCCCCACACCTGAGGCTAAGTGAGCAGCAGTCTCACCAGCTCCCAAAGGAGCAGACTCAGCTTCACTGTGTGGTGTTGTTTTTGCTCTTATTTCAGATTTTTGCCTGCAGACGACATGGACACTGCAGAGTTCTTTCTTATTCCAGCACTTGCCGATGTTTAGCTCATGTGTGAGTAAATATAAGTGTCGCAGACAGACAAATCTTTGCGTTTGTCTCTGCTGGTGTCTTACCACGAATTTCCACCATATCTGGAGCGACCCAAATCGAGAACGGCAGTGATTTTCGCCGTCTGCCAATTCCTACCAGATCTTTTTGTGAGGCGAATTTCGTGGCGGACTACGGACAGCAGGAGTCGTGAGAACTCACAAGAACCTGTGGATTCGCACAATAACGAGTTGTCTCTTTAAAGACAGACACATAGACATATAAGCAGTAGATTTTGTCCTTCCAGAGGAGGAAATCTACTTCTAGACTTCTAGAATCAGCATCTCCTCATCCATGGTGTCATCGGGGTGAAATGACGTCTAAAAACCTTTCACTTGTTCGTCTCCGCCTGATGTTTTGTTTTGTGTCTGTGCCCGACTTCCTCTCCAGCACGGGTTAATCTGTGCCGAATTAATCCAGCATGCTCCGGCGTCCGGGAAAAATAGAACTCTTGCGATCGGCAGAAGAACGGAAAGAAGACGGTGGAAATTGACACGTTAACTTGAACGGTTACGATCAGCGGATACGGCCTTTTCATAGCCGTTCCGGATGCGTTGGAAATTGAGGTTTGAGTAAATGTCAGGCATGCATGAATTCCATTCAGCTAAAGCTACACCCTTGATTCAGCATTTTCTTTCCAAAAGAGCGATTCGAATGCAAAGACACGTAAAGTGGAGATTCAAGAAGCTGAGCGATGGTCAGGTAGAAAAAGCGGAGGGCACGGTCGACTCCTTTCTTTTCTTTTCCTGGTCTTGAATGATCAGTATCTTCATTGGAATTCAGGAACACAAGCGGCCGGGTAGTTAGCATGTCTCCAAGGTTAACATTTTTGATGCAAGACTGAGGGATTCAGAGAAGTGCTGCTTTGAAGTGTCTTGTTGGAGTCAGAAGGGAGGCCGCCAGGCTGTCTGCGATATTGACATTAAAACTCAACACATAGAATGATGCCAATTGAAATTTCATAGTGTTCCCTTCAGGAAGCTGGGGAGTTGGGCATGCCAGTGTGAGATGAATAATGAAACTTCCCTCGCTTTGCTCATTTTTTATTTAATGTGGAACTCTCCTTTGTTGCTCCCTGCAGCTCTGCAGGAGCCGGTGTGCACGTAGTACAGGTGTAGAGTCAAAAGAAAAGGGTCGGGTTTTTTTTTATTTTTTTAATGTAGGCATGAAAGCGGGCATGAAGGTTAAATGATTGTGAGGAGTCTTTTGTTATGGATTTATGGATCATGGCTGCCTTTCACTTAGTGCTGGACGATAATTCGATAACAATATATATCGATCGATAGACGTGTGGTGCGATAGAAAAAAAACGGGTCGATAAAAAGTTCGATAGAAAAACACAGTTTCCCTTTCTTTTTCATCATAGCCTATCATGTGGCTTTTACTACAGTCATTACTTCCTCCCAACCAATCACAAACGCAGACCCAGGTACGCGGCACCAAGCCCAGCCCCTCTCAAACCACAACAGACAGCACGTGAATTAGAAAAAATGATACAGCAAGGAGAAGCGGAGGAAATTGTCCCGAAAAAAGGTTTCAGTAGTTCACCAGCATGGCAATGTTTTGGTTTTTTAGAAGTCTGACAAGAAGCGAACAGCGGTCGTTTGCAAAATTTGCAGAGAATAGTAAAAACCAAGTGTGGTAACACAACCAACTTGTTTTACCATCTAAACCGATCGCACCCGCAGGAGTACGACCTGTGTCGGCCGCGCCGCGGCTCCACGTCATCGTCGGAGGAATCCTCTGGAACCGCTGCCAGCACCAGCACAAAGCATGTGAAGCAGACCAAACTGGACTTCGTTTCTTGCCAAAATACGACAAAGCGTCCGAGCGGCATAAGGACATCACCCATGCAGTAACATGCTCCATAGCGAGGGACATACTGCCAATAACTACCGTTGAAAAGCCTGGATTCGACCAGCTTCTCGCCACTCTCGACCCGCGATATGAAGTGCCCGGCCGCAAGTATTTCTCAAACACAGCGCTTCAGGCATGAAAATGGGTCAGGGGTTGAAAAGGTGAGAAGGGTGCGGAGGAAATACGTTCCGGTGTAGCTTCTAAAAGTGGAAGAAAATGAGCTCATATTTTACAAAGACGCGAGTATTTGGATCATGGCTACTAGCAGGGGGTGCATTCGGCAGGGGTGCATTCTACGACACAACACCGGCGTGGATAAGTCCTGCTTCTCGTGCTGAGTTTGTGTATTAAGTCAATCACATGATAATTAAAAAAAATAAATCTCCCGACCCCGGGAGAAATATGTCAGTGTTCAGACACCAGGCTGTGGGCAGTTTCCCACACAGTTAAAACTGGTAGTATGCTATTCCCACCTAAAGCTATTCTGTTTATTTATATATTTGTTTGTTTTCATCAAAAGACTATTTAAATATTTATTTATCAGATTTTCTGGTCACTTTAGTCTTTATGTTTGTCAGTATTTACTGACCTCACTCAGGCCACTTAAGTTGATTTCTTTTTTTTTTTTAGTTCTTTTTTAAAAAACTTTCAGTTGTGGTAAAATAAAAAGGTGGTTGAATAAAGGTTTGAATTTGAATTCAGTGCTTGTGTGTTCTTTATTAAAAGTAGGTCATTAAGCAATAGCATAAAACATCCAGGGCTGCAATTAAAATATATGTCAAATAATTATAACAATTATATCGATAATTATCAATATCGATCAATATGATTTATTTTTTATCGATATGCTTTTTTTCTATATCGTCCAGGCCTACTTTCACTCATGTTTGTCATCTCGTACCCGGGGTGTAGAGCAGCTTTTGTAACGACTCCAGGCTCGGTTTGAAGTCATTTTTCTTCTGGACTGACAAAGACACCTTGGGGTGTAATTGAGTCATACTGTTGATTCACATGCACAACATGTGTCATGTGGTTTTTACCTCTGTACCTCCATAACCGCACCCATGAGCCTCCTATTATAGGGATTTAATATTTATAATATCTCAGAGGGTATCTCTATCTCAATCACTGCGTCCATCATCCAGAGCTTATTTACTGCCTGTTATCTGCAGTAAATGGACCTACTTTGAGATTTCTGCTGGATAGATAATCACCAAACATGGTTTTATTTGGTGTTAGACCACAAATAAAGATCAAATTGGCAATGTGGTTAAGAACGTGATAATTCACTGTATTCATCATATTTTAGGGCTTCCTTCATATTTCTGACAAACTCATCGTAAGATTTGTTTAAAAGCAGAATTTCTTAATTTACTTAGTGAGTTATTGGTTTTGTTTTTGTTGTCATGAAATCTCATGTAAAGACCAACATTTACAGTTTTTTTAGTCAATTTTTCATCTTCATCTACAGTCTGATGACTTTGTAGTAAATGTGCAAAAAGATTGGACCAAATCATATTTTGTTGTATTGTGTTACACCATATTGTGTCGTGTCCAATGAAATAGTATTCCACAGTTAAGTATTATACTGTGTTTTATAGTATCTCATTGTATCCTCATCTGTTCTTTGGTATTGTGTTCTATCATATATTACAATCTGATCCATAACAGTAAGGGGTGGGAATCACCGATGGCCCAACGATACGATATTATCACGATACATGTGCCACGATGTGATATTATCAAGATACCTGGGCTATGATACAATATTATCAGGATTCTTGGGTTATGATACGATATTTTTGCGATTTTTTACATTTTGCAATACAGTGAGTGTTGCGATACAATATATTGCGATTTATACAATTTTTTCAACTGCTTAGCTAGTTTAGCATTTGTCTTTCCTGTATGTTTGTCTTATTTACACAGTATTTTATTTTCCTGTAGCACATCTTGCAAACCTTCTATATATTTGTTGAACTAACTTTCTCCTGCTCTGTCACCTCTGCTAACCTCACTGGACAAACAGTTGATTTTATTTTTCCATTATCATAGATTTGACTTCATATTAGCAATTAATTTAAAAAAATCGATACTCTGTAAATGAGACAATACGATATATCACCAGACAAAATATTGTGATACTCTGCTGTATCGATTTTTTCTCCCACCCCTAATAACAGGATATTTTAAAATCAGTATAATTTAGTTTGAGTCATTCAATCGCATATATTTCACATTTTAACAGCTTTACTCTTAATTTATGACTCATTCACTTTTTAACCTGTTGACAGAGAGAGCATGCTGTTTCATTTTCCCCAAGATTCACCTGTATTCACTAGGGGTGGGCAAAAATATCGATATGGCGATATATCGCGATACTTTGACTTCCGATTCAATATCGATATTCAAAATATTAATATCGATTTTTTGTTCAAATAATAAATCAGGTTTCAGACGGGTTAACAAATCCAGTACGACTTCCGCACCTCCGCTCCGCTAGGTGTCGCTGTACCGCTACCTCACTTCTTCTTCTCTTTTTTCCCCCGGTTGCAGTGAGGAAGAGGAGCCGGGAAAAAAACAATCAAGCATGGCTGGTAACGTTAAACTAGAAACGCCCTCGAACTTTAAGGCAGATGTTTGGAGATACTTTGGATTCCAAAGGAAAGGAGAAACACACAATGAGCTGGACAAAGAGTACGCGCTTTGCAAACTCTGTGTCGCTCCCATTAGATATTCGGGTAACACAACAAACTTGAGAACTCATTTAGCAAGACACCACCCCGACATATTAGCTCAGCCGGAGCCACCGAAACCTTCCGATCCAAAGCAAACTACACTGGACATCGCCAAAGTCCTCCCATCTACTTCAACCCGAGCCCGGGGGATCACAGAGGCGATGGTGCATTTTCTTTGTAAAGATTTGCGCCCATACAACGTTGTGGAAAACGTCGGCTTTCGGTGGATGCTTCATACTTTGGAGCCGCGCTATGTGATGCCGCAGCGTAAGTACATGGCTAACGTAGCTGTGCCAAAAATGTATGACGAGGTGAAGGAGACAATAAAAACAGTTCTTAGCTCTGCTCCGAGAGTCGCACTGTCCTGTGACGGTTGGACATCACGAGCCACCGAGTCCTACATTACAATAACGGCGCACCACATTAATGCCGAATGGGAGCTGGTAACACATGTGTTGCAGACGAGAGCCATGTACGAGAGCCACACTGGCAGCAACATTGCATATTTTATTTTTTACATACATTCAGTGAAGTGTTCAAACAGTGACACAGTTCTTGTCCAGGGAGACAACTGTGAATTAAATTTTGTCATTTAAGGTCAAAGGCAAGAAGCTGCACTTTATTTTGCATTTTCAATTTCAGTGTGTGTGAGACACTGCATTTTATTTTGAGTATTTACTCTAAATTCAGAAGAAACATAATCCACTGAGGTTTCAATTCAGTTTCAGTATGTGGACACTGACCCACACTGCAGTTTGTGTCATAATTGTGCTCAGGGAGACTAAGAATAATGCACACTGCACTTTTCAATGTGTTTCAGACAGTGTGTTGGTCACGCAAATATGTTGTAACTTGCACTTACAATAAAATGGCATCGATAATTTGAATTACATTGTTTTGACTGTTTGTCCCATGAATTATCACTATCATCTGATGTACATACAACTGGGATTTTAAGATGCATAATGCCTTTTACATTTTTCAGTGAACTATGTAGAATATCGCAATATATCGCAATATATCGCAAACATTTGGATATCGCAATATCATATCGTATCGTGACTCAAGTATCGTGATGCGTATCGTATCGTGAGGTCCTTGGCAATACCCACCCCTAGTATTCACGTACCTCAGGTTTCTATTTAATAAGGTTTGTGGACTTATATTTGTGTCCTGTGGTTTTGAACGGACAACAGATCTCCAGATCTGTAAAAGACCTCTGCTGAAAGTATTGTAAGTGACGTAGAATAAACATTATATTTTCATTGTTTTGGTCAAACTCCTTAACTTTATAAGACAAGGTGAACTCTGTATCACAGCTGTTTAATCAGAGGGATTAGTCTCATGATTTTTTCAGGCTAAAGATAATGTCGCTGTCTTATTCTGAAATGGAGAAATGCACTGTGGCTTTGCAGTCAAATCTTCTTCCTGTTTCACTGACATTCAGCTTTCCTTCAAGTTTATGTTCCTATCATAGAGATATAACCCGAGACGCAGACTCGACAAAGCACCGCTAACCCTCCAGGTAACATGTACAAGCTCCCTGCAGCCTAAAGGCGGACCGCAGATATAAGACTGATATCAAACCAAAGATCTACGACTCTAATATCTCTCCAGACAAAGAAAGCACATTTTTTTATTCCTCGTTGAACAATCCCAGTAAGCTTTCAGCATTCAGGCCGTGATACCCAGACCCAACACAACAGGACTTTTTAAACATCTGTTGTTTTTCTGTTTGTCAGGAACACCTGTCCTGCCCGCTCCCCTCTCATCCACCTTTCTCTCTCTCTCTTTGTCTCCTCTGTTCTTTCCCTGAGTCATCTGGTAGTATTACAGCGGAGCCTCCGGGGAGCCCGTGCCCACCTCTGAATCATAGCTCACCTCCCCAAAGGTTAATAACCTGATGAAAAGTCAAGGGCGCGAGTTTGAGCCGTGCCACAGCCGAGTGCAGGGGAAGCAGAAAACGGCGAAGAAAACTGCCAGGGCAGGGTATTGGATTTTGATTTAAGAAAACAAAGGTCTCACCTACTTCAACCACTGGAGGAGAGTGACTGTAAGAGCATTAGAGCTTTGGCTTTTGGCTTTTTTATGGGATTACGGGGTCAAAGGGCAAAAGGGTTGTTTGTTTCTCCCATTATGATATTGTCTGTGAAGTGTGCGATACGGCGCGGAGATGGTGTGTGCTGCCAAATATGAAGAAAAATGGAGCCGCGGGCCACGACGTCAAAAGAAAAATGATTCCCTTAACCTTTTCTAAAAGGAATTGAATCTTTGGCCCTGTCTGCCGCAGACTTACTACACTTCCAGGCACGGCGTTACATCACGAGTCATTTTTCATCCCATTGAAAAGAAGTTATCTCCGAAAAAAGAGGAACGGCGGCTCTCACATTTAAGGAGAGACGGTATTAATCTAATGGCCATTGTTCCTGAGGTTTCCCCGCTTTCGAAACCCCTCAGAGAGAGAAAACGCTCCACCTGTGAGAACCAGTGAGTCATGCTAATTAGCAATTACATCCACAATCAACCATGTTAATTCACTTAGGAGGAGGTCAGTGTAATTCATTCTCATTTTCAGAAAACTGGGACTGACATTAAATTAATGCAGCTAAAATAAGTGGCATTTAAGCGGCACAGTCGAACACACACACTCACACACACTCACACACACACACACAGAGTTATCTCAGAGCTATTATATTCTCTCATTCACACACCCTCTCCGTCTGGGGCTTTGGTTCTGCTCATGTTCTCCTGTCATTGAAATCTAATTTCTCCTCAGAACAAAGATCCAATCTCGCTCTGACACACGTGTCAACACATGGACGGGGTCTCATCGGGGGGAGAGGACTCGAGTTTCGGCTTGTTTCCTCTCCGATGACATCTCCTGGCCGCACAGTTACAACCTTTGACTCCTAAATCAAATGCAATCTTTTCTAAGAGACAGATTCAATATAAAGAGTTTTATGGGGAAAGTCAGACGACGTCGCGGAAACTTGAACTCCTGACTGACACCAGACATGTGAGGCTCATACGTGACTTTGACCCACTTCAAATTTCAACATGATTAATGCAAATCCAATATTTGAACATTTCTCAAGTACCTCAGGTTTCATAGGCTTTCATTAGCACCTTTGCACATCCTCAGTCTCAACAGACCTGATCCTAAATCTGATTGCAATCCATCTTAGCTCTCCCAAGGCTGAATGTAAATCAGGGTCAGCTTTAATCCAGTCTAGAGAGATGGTTACCCACCCAGGGATGAAATGCAAGAAGAAGAAGAAGAAGAAGAAGAAGAAGAGAGTTTAATGCATCAGGAGAGGAGAACTCAGACCTATTTACTGACTAAAACACTTTTTTAATGGGGCTCTGAAGGGGCGTTCACACCAAGCACAAGTAAAATCATTCCTGCTGATGAATGAATGTTAAGAAGAGTGACCATAATCTGACTTCCCAAAAAGAGGACACGACTACGTGGGGGCGGAGTCACAGAGTCACATGAGGTTAATTATGAGAGTTTTTCGGGTTTGATGGAGTGTCTTTTATGGGTTTCTAACTCGGTAAGTCCACGCGACATAAACTCTAAACTTCAACACCGCAGACATTTGAAGGATTTTATTAACTTCCTCAGACAAAGCAGGACAGCCCCCAAAATAGTGGACATGTCCGGGTAAAAGAATATTCCTTTATTGATCCCCCATGGGGGAAATTTTTTTGTCACAGCAGCATCACAGACAAAGAGTGCAAAAATGCAGTTATAAAAATAAAGATCCTAATATTAAGAACTTAAATAAATGTAATAATTAAGAAAAAAATTAAGAAAAAGGAAAAAGGGAGAAGAAAACTAAAACTATCTACAATAAATAAATGTATTTGTCTACAATAAAAGAGGGTCACTCTAATGTAAAATCAATGCAAGGATTCGATTAAACGCTCATATTACTCTGGCGGCGCGAATGACACAAATTGAGCGGGTGCAAATTCGCAAGAGTTGAAAATATCTCAACTCAAGTGAATATTCACATAAATAACCAATCAGCACGAAGATTCCGGTATGAAAACGGACCAGAAGATGTTGACCGGTATGAAAATATGAACACAAACCCTTTTACTCACAGTAGACAGACGGACAGGCGCTCTGCAGCCGGGATAGAGCGCCTGTAATCGATATCCTGGAGGATATCCGGACACCGACCCTCAACAACAAGTCGACAAAATACCGCTGGAAACGTCCGCCATCCGGGCGCAGCTATTGGAGGAGACCCAGACACGGTGACGCCTACATTTCCAACGGTTGTGGTCCTTCCACGACAAAAACAAAACAACAATCCGCTGAATGTGATTCACTCCTACCACGCTTGATGGAGACTCTCTCCCTCTCTCGTGTCCACGGCTGGAGGAAAGTGATTGAAGAGTTCGGATTATCTGGTAAATTGTGAAAAAGCGTCGTCTATCACTTGATCCCGTCGATTAAATTCGCAATAATCACTGTTGAAGTTAGCATAAACAGCTATCCACTGCTTCCACTGACGCGCAAATCATTCCTGCGAATGAAGCGAGTAAATGCTTTTAATTCACACGTCTAGATACGCCAGAATTAAGCAAGAAGACGATTTTACTTGCGCCCCAAAATAGTTCATTGACTTGAGAGCAGAGACTGACGTGTTTTTTCTCCTGCAGCATCTCCACATGTCGTCTTGTCCCCCAACACCTTTTACTAAGAAGGCAAATGCACATTTCATAAGGATGTTGTTGACCATAAAAGAAACTACAATAAAATCCTTTGTTTTAAGAGTCTATATGGTTGAAAATAAATGGACCACATTGATATGCATAAACAGAAGCTTTCACCTCTGGAGACCTTAAAATACATTCAAACAAAAGTAGCCATGGGGAAACCGAGCGCCGACCGATATGTCTTCTCTTTGTCCGTACATAATTGCAACAAGCAATTAAGAATGCATTTTGTGGAGAAAAGACAGCAGATGATCCATCACACTGTTCAGATGCCCTATCAAGAGATTACTTGATAAGTTGCCCTGCCTAATCTAGTTAACACGGTGATTTTTCAGGTTTTAACGATTCATTTCCTCAACAAAGTCCCGTCTGCGGACACTCCTTCATCCGAACACAGGCCCAGTTCAGCATCGATCCCATCGAAACACTTGCTGTTGTTGTTTGAGAATCAGGAGAAGAAATCAATTAAAACTAATCCGTTAATGTTCCTGCAGTTTTCATGCACACAAATTTGGCCTTTTGTCCATTTAACAGTTTTCTGAGCGTCATTATTAAAGAGTCCTGTGCATTTATCATCCACACACGAGACACAAATCCTCTGAGTTCTCCCATCTGCAAATGCAGATAAACAACAAATCCAATCGGCGGGCTTTGCTCTTTAAGCCCAGAGTTCAATTCCAGCTGACAGACTCGCGGGAGATTTTCTCTGCAACCTGGACTTTCACCATTAAACCCAGAATGTGAACCAGCAACCCTGGACATGGAGTAAATTGCATCAGATGCTATCATCAATCTCTATCTGTTGGCAACATGTCTTATAAACTCACCGGAGCCGAGGAGGAGCTGTGGCCGGTTGCTCCGCGCCGTATCTCTCCAGAAAAAAAGGTTGTCTGACAGGCTGTGAAGGAGCTCATGTCACACACACACAAACAGTAGTGGTTCAGTTTTTCTCCTGTGTGCTTCTTCTAGTTTTAAACACCTTCCTGATATTTGAAGATTGCGTCTGTTGTGCGTCATTCAAGGTTTTGATTTCATAGAAAAAGCAGCGATATGTAAATGTTGGGGAGAATAATACCAATCTTACTTTGTTCCCCTTCACAGCACCAAAACACTGCCTCATAAACCCACTAATGATCCATCGCTCGCTCTATCCTCCGTCTTCATCGCTGACTTTGATTCGCATGTTTGAGCTTTTTTTTTTATCCTTACAGAGACGAACACGCCACGCCACATGTTCACACACAAACCTCATGGGTTTTCTCTGCGATGATCGAGCATCATTGAAAAACATCACAGTTTTAGTGTTATTATACTATCAACATTTATTCATAAAGCTTCATGAAGAGCCTGTATTTATCCATCTAAGAAAAATTATCTAATGTAAACAAGCCAATGCTTTCATCCATCGTCTTTTACCCCGACATGTCCTCTTTTTTGGAGGCTGTCCGTCTTTGTCCGGGGAAATCTATAAATGTCTTCAAATGTCCGGGGTTTCGTACGGAAGTTTCGAGTTTGTGTCACATGGACTTACGGTAAAAAACACCTGATCCGACCCAAAAAACTCTCAAAATTAACTCTGTATGACTCTGAGATTCCGCCCCCGCATATTCGTGTCATTTTTGGGGGGGAATTCAAAATAGGGTCTCCCTAATTATACATGAATTTCTCTTAGGGCGCAGCTCAAGGAAGAACCTTTATGATCATTTCTTTATCATTTCCTTGAAGTAATAATCTCCATATTAATCATTTTCACTGCAGACGCGATAACTCTTCTGCTTTAGCATCTCGGTCTGATTGTATTTCCATGAAGAAATTATCATAAATGTTCTTCCTTGAGCTGCGGCACCCCGCTGTAGTCTGTAATGGACTGGCCTGAGGTCTCACTACAAAGTGGCTGCAGGAAGAGAGTAGGTGAGTTGTGTTTAGTCTCTTTGCTAAAGAATTGAGTCAAAGTTAAAAAGATGTTTGGTGTCTAGTACTATGTCTGTGACCCTATATGTCCTGTTGATGAAGTTAGGTGCTGTTCTGAGCATTATTTGTGGCTATAGAGTGGCGTTTTGGTTGAGGGCGTGGCTCTCTGTATTTCTATCCTGCGGTTGTTACTAAAGTTGGTATAACTAGAGAAGCAAGCGGTCGACAACATTCATCTCTGGAGGGGGGGTCTAACTCGTGTTTGACCCTAAATTAATTTAATGGCGGAATATCCCTTTAAGTTTTCAGAGTACACACACACACACTCATCTCTGTAGTTTATGAAGATCTTGTAAAAACTCTCTTTGTGACGCTCTTCTTACAGAAGTCCGATCTTGTTGTCTGCTTGTCGACACGTGTGACTTGCAGAGAGAGAACTTTCTTGTAGACCCGACAGAGCGTGCACCACTTTCAGTGTTTGCACCGGTCTCATGGGAGCTGCGGTTGCATGACGACATGCAAGTTTTGCATCAGCTTTGACATCTCCGGCCAGCAGCACATGACCTTTTTATTTTTTTTCATTTAAGCTTCTCTTCCCCTAAAAAAACAAAAGTCAGGAATAGAAAAAAAACAAAAACGCTCTTAGATGATTTTAAATGTATCACAGGAGGATCAGACGCGGCGTTGTTCTTCTAAAGACATGCTCTATTTTTAGAGTTTCAGACATTCTGAGAAAGGGTTTAAAGTGGAGTCAGACTCAGTGTCCTCAAGAAACTTCCAACAAAGACAATTTAAAACAAACGTGGGAGTCAGAAAGAGCAGAACGAGTCTCATATGTGGAGAGGCAGAAACATTTCATTCGAGCCGTCCCTGTGGATCTCTCTCTGAGATTAAACACTTCCTTATTGACTCGTTTTGATCAGTTTCACCAGCCAACGTCAGATCATTTTAAATCATATTTAAAGAATCTGCAGTTTTTTTTCTTTGTTTAGTTTTATTTACTTTTTTTAAAATCAGTGTATGGACTGAATTGTCTCTAACTGGCTTCAGAATATATAATTTACATTTTTATGATCAAAACAGACAGATATTATCCCGTCATTTACTCCTGTGATAAATACTGTATCTTATCACATCACAAAGCCAATAATACAATCAAATAAGTACTTTATTGTCTTGAATCAAACTTTAGTACATCTGTTTAATAAGTAATTTAAACTGTATCCTGACTTATTGTATTATAGTGTAAAATATCCCACTGAAAAGTTTTGTGTCCCGTGAATTAGGCCCGTGAGAATTCACAGTGACCGTAACATTATCATAATTTTTCACGTACTTCCATCTTTCTCGGTATCGGTAAATTTTCGGTTTATCGCCCAGCCCTAGCTTGTACTGAATAATACGGTATGATTTCTTGCTTTATCTTATCCAATCAAATTACATAGTACTCTATTAAAGTGTATTGAATTGGAGCTGATGTGGCCCATCATTCTATATTGAACCATATCACACTATATTGTATTATGTGCAGGTATCATACAGTATTGATTGGTATTAGATTATATTATTTCTCATCCTATCCGATCTTAATCTGTCATATCCAGTCAAATACCATCCAACAGTATGGTATCATCTGCGTATAAGTGGTTCTGTATTGGTGTTGTTTTGTGTAGCTGACTGAACCCACTCATTACTGTGGTCTAACATCGTCAATCAGATCAGAGTGAACATTTGTTTCCCTTATTAATGTATCTGTTCCCCTTCTGCTGCATATATATCCCTGAACCGTTAATCTTTAATTTCTTTATTTCTTAAAAAAAAGGTTATTGTATTTTTACTGTTTCTAAATCCCAAATCTTCTCACTAACAAGCAGATCTGATAATATATATTATAGGTCTTCTTTTTCATTCGTACACACACATGTCAGTATTGATCTGACATTTAAAAAATTCATCTGAAGGCATTAGAAAATCATAAAACTCAATCTCAAGGCTGTCTACACCTTTAGAAACCCAGAGTGGAGATTCCCATCCAGATTTAGATCTATCCCTCTGTTTGTTGACACAGATATTGAACGGGTCGAAGGTCAGTTTAGTCTGGTGAAGTTATGGATTTTAATCATGAATATCATGTTTATTTTTTCAGGATCAAATCCTTTATCTAACAAAGAGAAAATCCTCCCAACAGCAAAGGTGTCAAATCCGACTTTTTTACCATAACCTGTCGTGTTGGAAGTTCAATGAATTCTGGTTTTTGCGGCTCCACCTGATCCCACAGCAAGCAGTGAAAAGCTGGACTCATCATCTAACAGCAGCTCCAGAAAGCCCGACCTTTGACATTTAAATAAAAGATGATGCAATTCAGAAGAACTGCTGGGCTTCACTCAGAATCTGATAACACAGAATAGCTTTTACCTCGATTTCTTAAGGAGCTCCTCGCTCGCTCGTCAGAAGCATTATTTTTATCTTCTGTGCTACAATCCCAGAAAATTAAATATTCATGAGCTGCTCTCCTCATATTTACATACAATGTGTGTTTGGTTATTTATTTTTTTCCTGCGTAGGTGAGCTTTTTTTCAAGGGCACAGGTTTTTATTTTCGCGCTGATTCTCTCTCCTCTAATTGTGTTGTTGAATTTGGAGTGTCGGCTTTGCTTTGGCACTTGAGCGCAGAATCAAACAAGCAGAAATTATGTAAGCTAAGTTCCCTTTTGGATTTGTGCACCTCAGACATTTGAAAGTGAGACCATTGTCATGTAGCTTCATTGTCAAAAGACAGCGACTGATGAATATTTCATCTCTCCTGCCTGTGGAACCTCTCCTCCCTGCATACAGATGTTGCCCACATTAAAATCCTGTTCGGGCTCCTGGTGCTTCCTCTGCAAAGTTTGGACTGTTCACCAGTGCGAGGCGATCCATTAGGCTTTTAGTTTACTCCGAAATAGACTTCTGGGTTTGAGTTTTACTTCGTAGAAGAAGGGATTATCTCCTCGTTGAACTGGTTTTAACTTCTTTTTTAATGCTCCTTAAATAAGACGATCAGTTCAGGTTTTTTCAAACATCGGAGGTGGGCAGCACAGGTGTGAGCTGGTTTCTCTTTTGATTCCTGCAGCTCAAAGTGCCAGTAAAGGTACCAGATACTATACTGCAGCCCGTCACCAGAGGGTGCTGTTCTGGCGGTGGAGTCCATTCTAGTTTATTCCAATAAAATTATAATAAAGTTTCAGCACAGAGAAAGAACCAAATTAAAAATATGTTTACTTACATTACTGATTAAATACATGTAGAAACACAAAAAGGCTAAAATGTTCTTATACAAAAATACATTTATAGCATGGTGGTGCAAGTACGTGTGTCCTATGTTGATATAAAAGATTGATTTTGTTAGTCTCTTCAGGGTTCCACAAGACTCCAGCCACCCGCTCACTTTACATTACTTCTTATGTCGATCATTATTTGTATTTTACATAACATTGAAATTAGTAAGAGCAGGGCAAAAATACGACATGTCAACCTACTTCTGCTCTATTGGATTTTCACATAGTTTAATAAATGATGTTCAAGCACATCCTCAGCTGACCAATACTTTAAGTGTAAGTGAGTAATGTGAGCAGAAAACAGGGCTTTAAAAAATACAGCAAACGGTAATAGAGCTGCAGTGAACTCCGCTGTAGGGTTAGGGTTAGGCTATCGATGATGTCACGCAATATGATTGGCTGTAAGTTGGTTCAGATAACGTAGATGATTGTGGTCGTTCCGGATATTATGGAAGTGGTTTTCTTCGGATTGGGTTTCATGGGACTGTAGTTCTTCGGAGAAAAAGAACGACTTTTTCAAAGAAATCTATCGCTACTTATCAAAGGAGACTTACGACAGCCGGACTAGCGCCCCTTTTAGGTCGCCGAAGTAATGTGGATTAAAAGCAAAACTATCTATTGTTAAATGGAGTACATTTTTAAACCTAGAGCTGGGTGATATGGCCACAAATCAATATCACAATATATTGATCAGTTCACCTCGATAACAATAAATGGACGATAACTACTCCACAAGCTGCTCACCCCCTCCCACATTAACTTCGTCTACTTCAGCCGCTACAACTTTTGAACCGTCCATAAAAACATCTTAAAGGGACATGAGACCATAGCCTACCTATACACATCCAAAACCAACTTTGATTTATT